CATTGCTTAAAATTGCCATCAGCTCTTACATAAACACTTCAGTATTGATTCAGTCAGGGCTCTCAAAAGGACAGCCTATGTTTGTATATCCAGAACCCTAAAAACATTTTCCTGTCCTACCTAGTATAGCAACAGYGAGTTTCAAAAGAACCAGTATTTGCCTAACTTCTCTCAGTAAGTCAAGAAAAATTTTACTGATTGCTCTGACAAGTGTACTAGGCAGGCCAGCAATGCATGCTTTCAAAAATCCCAAACCCACACGTTTCATTTCATTTTTACCTCAAGTGTAATGAAGACAGAAGGAAATGTGCCCCCAAATTCAGACACCCTTGTAGCCAAGACGACTCACAAAAGGAGCCTTCATGGGGACTAGTGGAATAGACCAACACACTTCATCTACCCTACACCTCTYCACTCCTTCACCATTCCTCCCACACTGCTGCTGCCTTACAAACAAGCTGCTGTTGATTTTCAGTTCAATAGATCAGGCTGTGAATTGCAAAGACCACGGAGCAAACACCATCCATTCAGCTGTCTCTGCCACAGGGACAGTAACCTCCTGCAGAGAGGCAGGTTGGACAAGTGGGAGAAGTTACTGCTGCTGCCACAGTTAAATCCAGCACTCACCATGAATCAGTGCCCTGAGACATTACTCACCAGTGGCTTGAGACACACAGCAGTGTATCGAAGAAAAATCAAAGCAAACAAGGAAGTTACSTGTCCTAAAGAGCTTACAGTGTTTAATGAAAGGAGAAAAAACAACTCATCAACTCACACAGTGGGAAGATGAAACAGCAGTTACTACAGCTTGAATTCATAAAGGAAGAAGTGGGGTTAAACCACATTTTTAAATGGGGCTTGGATAAGAAGGAATTCATTTTAGCAAGCACAAGAACAGTGCTTTTTTGGCTGCATGAGTCTATCTTTCAGAAGAGATGACTATTTCTGCAGACATTACTTATACTTTCCATGCAAGTATATAATTTAACCCATCCTGACAATGACTGGATATCCTGTGTGTGTAGAGGAATAGCTGGAGACAGGGGGCTGGCTGTAAGATGATTCTTATGATATCTATCACAATACTTGCTTGACCCAAGAGCAAGTGTTACTAAAAAGAAGCAATAATACTACATTTGAATTTGCATTATTTTTGTTGTGCAATCAATGGTTTTGCTGAAAATTCTGTTCCTGGGTCAAGCAGRACACATGAGGCCAGTCACACATGACACAGATAAGATAGAACATGGYACAGCTCAGCCTGAACTACAGATAGCAATCAGTTCTCAATGCAGTATTCTGAGGAAGGCACTCAAAGGGCAAGAAATGTATGAGGATGTCTCAATTCCAAGTTATTGGACTGAGTCATAAAGTTATTAAATAACCCGTGAGGGGAGGGGGAAAAAAAAAGCATCCACAACTTAGAGTGAATTTATTCCCACTGGCTCAGCTGCTCAGCCTAAGAAATAGGGAATATAGAATTGCAAACCTTTTAAACCAGCAATGTAGATCTAGTTAATCAGATGTGGGCATGTCTCCCAGCCTCTCTCTCCATCAAAACTAGATACCAAGATCAGGTACCTCACCAGAAAATTGAGAATCACAAGATTTTATATGGGCAGATTTAGCTCAAGCAGTGCATAAAACACTCAAGTCTGCAAGCAACACAAATGCAGTTACCTAAACTATCACTGTTAGATCAATCATATCAATCAGAACAAAAAGATAAAAAAGATTTATCCAAATATAAAAGAAATAAAAAAGATCATCGAGATTGAAAAGTGTCTGAGTACAATGTGAGAACAAAGCACTAAGCGAGGAAAAAAAAACCCCAAATACAACAATAAAAGTGTAAGTCTTGAAAGTGTGGTCAAATGACAAGGACAGGGACCTGRGAGTCTGCATTTCCAGACACAGCCAGCCCGACCAGTGGCTTCTGACACTCCTACAACAACTTTCTCCCCTGTTTAGAACAGGARTATTCACCACCTCCAGAGAACTTGGCACAGAGCTCTAGTGCTCTTCCTTATTCAGTAATTAAACTTGACGCATTCTGTGYGCACCTCAAAAAACACCAGCTCCCACTGGGTCAAAAGCAATTCATCAGCTTCTTACTGACCTACTTTAACCTGGGTGTGAACTCCATGACGTGGCAGGGGCAGCAGCTTGATTTGAGCTTACAAGACAAAAGGCAGGCCTAACTCCAGCACTGAGCTGCARACAAAACTGTATCAACTTGCAAGGCACCTTTCATCGTGGCCCAAATGACACCTTTCATTGATTACACACTGATTACATGTCTAAATCTGTAGTTTTAGTTTGCCTGAAGCTGTTCAAAAAGTAAAATGTTTATGACTTAACTGCTTATGAGGAGAAAGCCAATGTACAGGTTAACAGACAAATAAGGATGAAAAAAGACACAATTAGAAATGCATCTATTTCTCCTAGGTAGCAATTAGAATGCTAAAGAAATGTGGGGAAATAGTGTTTTGAAATAATTAAGCCTTGGTGCAAAGGTTCCTCTGCAAAAGAAAACATCAACTGCTGTTATTCTCTCATTGCTACTGAATAAAGAAATAATTGAAAACTATAAATAATATTAGCAACTGATATCTARCTTTTAGGATATGACCCCTTTGGAGATACTCATGGAAGACTGATACAGATTTTGGCAAAAGCTACAACAAAGGTTATGATTTCTTGGATAATGGGCAGAAGAAATCATAGCTGAACATGGTGGTGGGGCTGCATGAGCATTATCTCATTGACCTTTCAAAGAAGGAAAGAAGTAGGGCAGTTCCTTAGCTTCTGAAATGCTATCACTGTCTTACCAAACACGTTAAAAAATATTGCAGGGCAAGGTGGGGATGGCAGAGAGAAGGTCACTCATATTTGCATAACCTACATTACAGGCTAAATTAGACCATTCTCCCCAGCATGTGAAATAAACTGTTCATGCTCAGTGCCAAATCAAGTCTTACACAACACCTGTTTTTCTCCKCTGGCTTTACGTGATGTTTGGCAACAGATGCATTATGTGTTATTTACAGGTAATTTTTATACCAACTTTTTTTTGTTAAAAAGTTGATTTGGGGAAACAGTTACATAAAAACTGTTATGAAAAAGCACAAATTAAAAGAACCAGTGTAAACAGGCATACCTGAGCTCTTTCAGGTCTTCCTTAAAAACCTAGAAAGACAAGGAAGGTGAAATTTTATATTATATAGCCTTAAATGGTAATTTCTTACTTAGTAAATCAAATTGTGGTTACTTGTTTGCTATCTCTTCACAAGAATTTTAGTCTCGAGTGCCAGTAGTTTTGAAATGATGAAGGACATACTGAAAAGAATTTTCAGAAGTGTTCAATCAATYCCATTTTTATGTGCAGCTTCCCACCCTGGCAAATGAGATTTAGATGGTGACTTGTGTCTGACACAGSTTTTACCTTATCAAGGTTCCAAGTACTCCCACAACTTACTTCTTGTTTGAAAGTTGATAAGGGGAGTCTCAACGCTTCCTGAAGGAGRGTGTACATGCCAGAAATGAGGAAAGCAAGTTGCTCTTCTGAAAGATTAGCACTTTCTGCAATCAGCTTGACAGATTCCTTGCAGTCTTTTCCTTCCAATGCATTAACAGTGACTGTGAATAAGAAAGAAAAGCAAGATCCTAATTTACTCAACTGTGTAGCTCTTGATTTTGATGGTCAAAGGTGCCTTGAGAAAATTCTCACCACAGGGAGAAGCCTCACGGACAAAAATTAAGTCTATCACTGAGACAGTGTAGCTAGCAGAGCCTTCCATAACACTGGCTGGATAACCCTCAAATAATGCTATATACAGTTTTTACATCGTGAATTGAGCAGGCATATGAGCCTGCATCTCATTTTTTTTACATTAGTTATTGTTCAGCAATAGAGTAACAGCAACAGCMTAGAAAAATGAACTTGGTGCAAGTGCCAGGGCAATTTAGATATATGGCTCTGGGACGCAGRAATGAGGAATGACTTTAACAGCACTCAGCTGAATCTGGGGCCTATCCATTGCTGCAGAACTCTGTTCCTCAATATCGCAGATTTTACAGAATTGTAGAATAAAACCAAGCAAGCCTCCCAGTGTATTAAAAGTTCAGCTCTGGCTTCCTGTCAGGAAAGGCAATGGGAAGTGCCCCAGGAAGCTGCAGCCCTGCAGCTGTCACAGAATCATAGAATATTCTGAGTTGTAAGCGACTCATCGAGTCCAACTCAGACTTGCACAGGACACCCCAAGAATCCCATCATGTGCCTGAGACCATTGTCCCAAAACTCCTTGAGCTCTGTCAGGCTGGTGAAGATWCTCCTTCTAGGGGAAGAATCTTTTCCTGACATCTAGAGTGCTCTGACACAGCATTATGCTGTTCCCTCGTGTCCYGTCASTGGTCACCAGACAGGACATCAGTGTCCGKCCCTCCGCAGTCTCTAGTGAGAAAGCTGCAGCCAGCTATGAGGTCTCCCGTCAGTCTCCTCCAGGCTGAACAGACCAAGTGACCTCAGTCTGTATGGCTTCCCTCCTACGCTTTTCACCATCTTCGCTGCTCTCCTTTGGAAGCTCTCTGATAGCTGTTTTCGCCTTCCCGAGAGGATCCACGGTTTCCTCGGCCAACGGGGCTCCCGCCCAGCGGCTCCGGCTGGGAACCCCCCACACCCCTGTAGCGGGGCCGCTACGCGCCGGGACGGCGTCCCGCGGGTCCCGCACGGGCCCTACCTTTGAGGAGCCGCCGGAACACCTCCTTGCCCATGTCCTGCACGCCCCGGGCCATGGCCTCCACCTCGACCGGCACCCGCGGGCCCAGGAACCCGCGGCCGCCGCCGCCCTCACCGAGCCCGWGTCCCGCGGTGGCCGCCATGGCCGCGCCGCCCGCCCGCGCGTCATCCCCCGCGCCAGGGGGCGCTGTGAGGGCGCGGCGCCGGAAGGAGCGGCAGCGACAGCGACAGCGCGGCGCGTCCCGGGACCGGCCGCTGATGGCGGCACCGCCGCCGCCGTGTGCCCGCGGCGCTCCCGCCGCCGCCTGAGGCGCTCCCGCCGCCCCCGCCTCCTCTCCCGCGCCCGCCGCCATGACCGAGGAGCCGTACGAGAAGTTCCTGACCCCCGAGGAGCCGTGCCCGCTGCTCTCGCACCAGCACCCGCCGCGGGGCGGCAGCTTGAGCCTGAGCGAGGAGGGCTGCCTGGACGTCAGCGATTTCGGCTGCCAGCTCTCCTCCTGCCACCGCACCGACCCGCTGCACCGCTTCCACTCCAACAGGTCCGCTCGGCGGGGCAGGGCGGCCGGGCCGGGCGATGTGAGGGGCCGGGGCTGAGGCGCGGGGGTCGCGGCGGGTCGGGGTCGGGGCCGCCCCTGAGCAGGGCCGCACATGCTGCCCCCGCTGCGCTGCCCGGGACGGGCCGGCATGGCCGGGCTGCGGCTGCTCCGCGTGTCCGCCCGCACGCCCTGATGGGCTGTGCTGCCTTTTGGCTCAGTCTGCGTTCGGCTCATCGCGTTGCAGTTGTCAGTGGGAGCTGGGTCGGTTTGTAAGGATGTGTTTATTCACAGAATCACAGAATGGTTTGGGTGGGAAGGGACGCTAAAGGTCATCTAGTTCCAACCCMCCTGCCCTGAGCTGGCAAACCTTCCACTATGATGAGGTTGGTCCAAGCCTCATTCCTTTCTGAGTTTCTTAATTTTTGAGATTCTGATAATTTTTGAGCACTGTAGGGTGGGCAGCTACAGAATGGTGTGTTTGTAGGACTTAAAGGCAGGCCTTGCATGGACACCAGGCAGACCTGTAGAGATTGAGTCAGGCGGCTTGATGACTGCACCAACTCCTGCAGAAATGTTTCTGCCCCATACTACTAATTAAGGGAAATTATTCTCCCTGTAATTTGTAGAAAAGGTCTGTTCTAGAAGTGCAAATASAGCTCTGCAAAGAAATTCCAGTTTGTGCTCATAAAATCAAAACCACAGTCCTGCTTCCTTAAGAACGTAATTCTCCTAATGCGTAGTATTAAGCTTGAATATATAAGTAGCTTTTTTTGGGGACTGATCGATGAGATTTCAGTCTCCAACATATGTGTCTCCAACATTCCTGCTTCATATGTGCAAGATTCTTTTATGAGTTATTAGTAATTATGTGACAAAATTATGAAGAGTGAATTTGTATGGAGTCATGGAAATTGCACTTTAAAAGTGTCATTCACAAGGTCAGACTCCTAATTATACATTCTTAAATGATTCAGGCTGAAGAGTCTTAATCAAACATGATACACTTTCATAATATAGTTCTTAAGTCATAAGACATGAGCAGTAAGATATATTCTTAGAGTATCTGTAARTAAATGTGTGACAGTCACCAAATTTGCATTTAATTAATTTTGTACATTTCTTTTTGTGTTGCCTTTCACTTCCCAAGTGTGTGTCTCAGGTTTTCTTGTTTTACAAGCCCAGATTTGTAACCCAGGCATCTTGAGGGCCAGTTTCACTTCTCTGGAAAAGGACATGCCATGTCTTGCACTGATGAAGCCATCRCAGATGTGCAGCTCAATCCGTGGTGTTCGCATAGGGCTTTCTGTTTTTTAAAGTTAGGAGTGATTTTAACGTAGTTCCCACTTGTTGTTAATCCAGTTCACCCCAGTGAGCACAGCAGGCCCCCCTGGCTGTGGGAAGGTGAGAGCTGACTGTCTGTATCTGAAGTATCTGCATTATTGGTTAATGGCCTCACCCTTTGTTTTGATGWGTCTGGAAACTTTGTCCACCCTCTTTCATCAATATTTCATGGATTCTGGAACTGTAGTCATGTTGGGTAACATGCTGTGTCACYACAGTTATGTTCTGCTCAGTACCAATGGATTGCCCTGTGCACAAAAATCTCTACCAGCAAAGCATTGCACATCTATAAGGGATGCAGAAATGAGAGAGGGCAAGAAATCCTGAATCTGCTACAAGAACTGTTTTGGAAATATCTTTAACATTGGATAAATTCACATCTGGCCAAGTAGATGAGGGAGTGAATCCATCACAAACATATTAAGCCAACCTGGTATGCAGCCTAAATAATGACACTGAGGAYCAGCCTTTCCGGGTGATAGGATCACTCAGCTTTTGCAGTTGRATAGAAGAGTGTTTTTCTGGTTAGCCAGGCTGAAGTGGACAGGCTGATGGAACAGGAGTTGATTGTGTGGGCTTGTGTGGTGCATTTTAGAAGCCCTTTTCAAATTGTTTTGGCCATATTGCAGTGCTGTGCTGACTCATATTTGTCTCGACCTACTTTTCACCAATATGTAAAATAAATCCAGATATGGAGACTGATTTCATGAGCTTGTTAAATTCTGGCTTACTCTCATTAGAATAAAAAACCTGTTCTGTGAAAATTGAGTCCTCAATAGTTTTCCTTTAGCAACAACTTTAACTAGCTTTGTAAATTAAATAATTAGGGGGAAAAATGTTTAGTTTTGGCATGGTAGCATTTTCTTACAGGTCATTATCCCACTTTCACTGTCTCACTCCAATAGCATGTCCAGTGTTTTCGACATTCAGAGTTGTGAATAATGGATCCATAAKGTGTTTCCGTATTAAGTCATGGTTTTGTGGGGATTATCAACCTAGAATTTCTTTTTGACTTCTGTTTGTCCTGAAGTCCAATTGATTAACTTCTTAGYTCTGTTTATTCCAGTTTACATGGAACAAGTTTAAATATCCCAATATATGGAAAATTTTATTTTTAGATCAGTGTGTTTTAAAAACCCAACCAGCACCAGAAAAGCAATTTACATACTACAGGAGTCATGGTTCTGGGATAGAAAATGRTAATAGATCAAAATGAAGGTGTAATTAACCTGTATATGTATTCTTGCCTTGACATTTGTAACATTATGTTTTCTTTGGATGTTTATGTACTTTAAAGAATATTTWAAAATGTAATACTTCAATTTACATAATTATAACTTATTTCAATAAAATCAATGTATAATGTCACTGGCCAGCAAAGTGGAGATTGTTTTACAAGGCTTAAAGGCATTTCTCAGGACATATGATACCAATATTTGTTGTTCTCTAATTGTGTTATCCTGTTTTACAGGTGGAACTTGACGTCTTGTGGGACGAGYGTGGCCAGCTCGGAGTGCAGCGAGGAGCTGTTCTCATCAGTGTCTGTGGGGGATCAGGATGATTGTTACTCTCTGCTGGATGACCAGGAGTTCACCTCTTTCGATCTGTTCCCTGAGGGCAGTGTCTGCAGTGATGTCTCCTCTTCTATCAGCACATACTGGGATTGGTCGGACAGTGAGTTTGAGTGGCAGGTAAACTGGTTCCACTGAAAATGTAAAATTTTGTATAGGCTATTGYGTGCTGGATTTACCTGTAGCTGAAAAGTTGTAGAATAGAATATCCTGAGTTGGAAGGGACTCACAAGGATCATTGAAGTCCAGCTCCTGGCTGTGCAAAAGACRAGCCYRGGAATCACACTCTGTGAGAGCATTKTCCAGWTGTTCCTTGARCTCTGTCTGGCTGGTGCTGTGAGCATTGCCCTGGGGAGCCTGTTCCAGTGCCCAACCACCCTCAGGGGGAAGAACCTTTTCCTGATACSTACCTAAAACTTCCCCTGACTTGGCATCATGTTGTTCCCTTGTTTCCTRTCACTGATCACCAGYGAGGAGAGATCAGTGCCTGCCCCTCCTCTTCCCCTCATGAGGATGCTGTAGACAGCTATGGAGTCCTCCCTTAGTCTCCTTCTGAACAAACCAAGTGACCTCRGCATTTGTTTCTTTGTAACTGCTGAACATAGGGGCACATATTTGAATCTTGAATGATAAAAAATGTTCTGTTTCCTTTTATCCCAACCTCCATAATCAGGAAGAGGGACTGAAGRTCACCTCTCCAAAGGGGGATGCTTACATATTATGGTTGTTTGGTTTTAGGGACTAACATGTTTCTTGTAGCCATGAGCTTAGACTGTTTGTACTGAGAATCTGCCCTGCTAATTAAATCTAGTTATAGATATCTGGTCCTACTAAAACTTTCTAGGTAAAGTGTAGAAGTTCTTGCTATAGCTTATTTCTATCCTTTTTTTTTCTCTATGCCAGTAATAGTACAGCGCTCATTTTGTCTCACCAGAATAGGAAAAGTGTGAAAGTGAATCATGTCCTTTTCCCTAGTCTGTGCTGGATGCTGTCCTTGTTGGGTATCTCTAGTTTGTGACAGTCTTCCCTGTTCAGCAGTTTTTAAAATGTGATATGCATTTTTTAATATATTATGGAGCTAAATTGACTTTTTATATTAAGACTTAAATCGGCCATGAATGTATACGTAGCTTTGAAATAGACAACAAAGAGCTTCTGAATTTATTGAGGAATACTTGAAAACTTTGTCATAAAGCTTAGTCAGAGCATGCAGTTCTTTTCAGAACTCTTTTAAGAACTGCAGCTGATTTCAAGAAAACTGAAATCCTGTTCCAGAGGATGCAAGTGAGCTTGCGAATGTATTGAGATMAGCTCTGAATTTCTGACTGGTTTAAGTCAGCTGCTGGTCTCTATGTTAYATCTGAAGTAACTGAAGTTACAAATGTGTGTTTATAATGCAGCCTATAGGCACAACTCAGGTTGGATCCCAAAGATTCAGAGTTTCATTGAGTTGTGAAATTTTAATTGCCTGAGAAACTTGGCAAATGTTTTGAAAAGGAGCCATTTCCTATGCCTTCATTAGCTGACTGTATATTTGATCGGTAACTAGCTTTTTTATTACTGTTAAAACAAGCTTTTCTTAAGAGACTTACTTGATTGGACTTGTGAGATTTTGGAAAGACTTTTTTGTGGCTCTTTATGACGTTATCTGGCAGAATCTGAGCACGAGTAATCCAACTGTCCCACTTTAACTGGAAGTGCATTCAGAAATCACGTCAGTTGAATACGTGAAGCTAACTGAAGTTCTCAGTTGCTTCTAGGCAAATGACAGTGATTTTAATTGAATTGTCTTGTGTAATTATGGAGTGTGGTAGGAATTACAGACCTACTTTAAAATGATCTTCCTTAAACTAGACTTATGCTCCAGAATGGGAAGTTTAGATTTAGGTTTGGATTGTAATGGACAATTTCCAATGGAGAAGTGAAATAGTTGAAGTGCCACATGTTTCTGCTGTTTTCTTAAATGCAAATTTTAAAAAAGAGAATTGCTAAGTAGAGAATAGCGTGAATTGAGTTTGCTGCACTTGTTGTTKGTTGGAAGATTCAAGGGAGTGTTGCAGGTTTATGAGTAATTACAAAGAGTTTGTTAAAGTACACAGATAATCAATGCTTTGCTAATTTGATGGTATGTTTTGAATTGTTAATAGTGTTAGAATGATTTACAATCTGCCTGCTATATTCTAAAGCTTTGTTCTTCCTCTTGCATGTTACAAGTTGCCTGGCAGCGACATTACAAGTGGGAGTGATGTGCTTTCTGATGTTATACCAAGTATTCCGAGCTCTCCCTGTCTGCTTCCCAAGAAGAAAAACAAACATAGGAATCTTGATGAACTTCCATGGAGTGCGATGACAAATGATGARCAGGTGACTTTTTTCCCTATGTGAGAACTGCAATGTACAGAAGAGCTTTCAACTAAAAGACACAGCTTAAAAGCCATCCTGTTTGCTGTAGGTGTAAATGCAGACATGTGCAGTACTTGATTCTCAAAACTAAATCTTGTCCTTTGGATCTGTAGGAAGCAGTTTAATGCCTACTCAAGTCTTCACCTTGAGTTTTTAAGGATACTCAAGGCAAGAATCATGATATTTGAACATGCTTTATTATGTCGGTTCTTCCTTTTTTTTCTGTCATTTAAAATCAATAATACTTCCAAATGACCTGACTTTCTTTGGGTCCTAGGTTGAATATATTGAATATTTGAGTCGCAAAGTCAGTACAGAGATGGGCCTTCGAGAGCAACTTGATATTATTAAAATTATTGATCCTACTGCTCAGATCTCACCTACGGATAGTGAATTCATTATTGAATTGAACTGTCTCACCGATGAGAAGCTGAAACAGGTGAGTTAAGGTTTGTACATTTGACTTCAGGGTTTCATCATCTGATTATGTCTTGGAAAATCTTATGGACTTGTGATCAATTTTTATGCATAATCATTAGATTTAGAGACACTAGAGCACAATACTGTCAGTGAGGGAATATAGAGTTCAAAAACATATTGCGTTATTGAACATTTTTATGAAAGACTGGTTATATATTCTCAGTATGTGTTAAGACAAATCTAGTGAGTGTGTAAGGAGTTATGTTGTGGACCCGGTGCTGCTTACAGCAGTGTACTCCGTTTCAAGACCATCAGCTAGCTGAGGGTCTTCATTTGCTCACTGAATGTAAACAAAGCATTTAAACTCCAAAAGATTGAAATTCATTGGGGAAGACCATGAATTTCATATAGGAAGGGAGAGAGACGAAGGCATTTTAAAGATGTTACAAAACATAAATTATAACAAAGAAGGGTGCCTGGCTGATAGGGTAGATACATCTTACTGTCTTCTCAGTTGTTGAATTATTGAGATGTGTTGTTGGGAAGAGATGCAGTGTCCAAACAATGGACTGATGATGATGAAGGTAAAGTTGAAAATAGAAAAGATTCACTGCCTTTATGGCCTTGGTCCATTTCATGTTGCAAGCATTTTGTAGAGAAATGCTGCTTTATTTACTCCCATTTTTGTTTGAGAATACCAGGTAAATAAAGGGGTTTGATATATTAAATGAACAGTGGGGTTGAACTTCACTGATATTCCTGGTTGGTGTTAAAACAGTAACAATGTTGCATAGTCACAAACCAGACAAGCAGACAGACAAGAACCCTCTACCCTTGCTGCTTATTTTTCCACCTTTCATAGTGAAACAAGTGTTAACTTAGTTGCATTCTCTGGGCAACTCCAKATCACTTCGGATTTTAGCAGCCCCAGGAAAATGTTTTAAAAGCCTAACTGAGCTGACCCAATAACTTCATCATTATTAATGTGTTTTTCCAAGAAAAGGAATATCTCAGTGCAGGGTTTATCAAGYTTTAGTAATTTTGCTGCCTCTGTTCTAAAGGTGAGAAACTATATCAAGGAGCACGGACCTCGCCAGCGGTCTGCAAGGGAGAGCTGGAAGAGGAGCAGCTACAGCTGTGCCAGTACCAGTGGTGTGAGTGGTGCCAGTGCCAGCAGCAGCAGTGCCAGCATGGTCAGCTCAGCCAGCAGCAGCGGCTCCAGCGTTGCCAACTCYGCTTCAAACTCCAGTGCCAACATGAGTCGAGCACACAGCGACAGCAATTTGTCCACAAGTGCTGCAGAAAGAATCCGGGATTCAAAAGTAAAGTTTCTMATTATGTACATCTGTCTGCATTAARCTGTCTTAACTCGTGAAGCTTGCTCATGTGATCTTACCTGGGATGTTTGTCCTGAAGGAACACAGTAACTGAGTTATCTAGCTAAATCAGTGATCACAAGGAATTAAACTTGTGCTCTTCCCATCACTYCTAAACAAAAGCCTGATGTTTGTATGTAGTAGATCGTCAATTCGTTTTGTTTAGGAGTGGGCTTGAATAAGGACTGGACTTATGCATCTAACTTAAGAACACACACTTCAGAAAAAATATTGTTTAATCATGATCACCCTAATCTAGGCAAAATTTTTTGGCAGTAAAGACACCCTTGATTATTTTTGTTTTTTTTTTCTCAAATGCAAGTTTCATCAGGCTTTTTGAATCTTCTTCAGTTTATTCTTTGAGCACTTCTCATGAGATTTCCTGGTGAGGAGGGACCCACTGAAGTGAGGAGGGACCCACTGAAGCATGTTTCATTTAAAGGAGTGCTGTGGCACTTGTTCTGTCTCCATAATTTAAATTTCAAGTGTGGAGAAGAAGAGCAGTTATTGCTTGCTGTGCAACATCTTGGGTTTGTTAATGTGAGACTGTAACATTTCTCCAGCAATAAAGGTCCCTCCAATCAAAGACTTGACTATGCAACATCACAGGGTAATGTTATGCCTCATAATGCAGTTGTGGTAAATGGTCTTGATATTTTAATATWGGGTATGATTTTGAATGAATGTTTACACTGCTTCTGAGAATTCATATTTATTAGTTTAGAGGTTAATTTATATTTGCTTTAGAGGTGTTTTATCAAATTTACAGAACAAAGTCTTATGTTTTGTCTCATCTGTATTTTGACAGAAACGTTCCAAGCAACGGAAACTCCAGCAAAAGGCCTTACGGAAGAGACAACTGAAAGAACAAAGACAAGCTCGTAAGGAAAGACTGAGTGGATTATTTCTTAATGAAGAAGTACTGTCTTTAAAAGTGACTGAGGAGGACCATGAAGGAGATGTGGATGTTTTAATGTGACAGGGGTGAATTTATCAGTGTTCTTTCTAAGCCTTAAATGTATTATCYTTATTGTTTACATATATTTCTTGACCAAATTTTGATTAGTGTTAACAATATAAACCRGATCTTTTCTCAAGTGTAATTTTGCTAAGAAGGTCTAAGTATTGAGTAACTTCAGCTTTTTGAGACTAATTTTGCAACAAAGRATTCAGAAACTTCTCTGTCTTCTGAAAAGCTGCTGAATAGATAYAATTTTAAGGAAATTTGAACTTGACTAACATGCTAACTTACTTGCATGTAAGTCTAGGGGTGCTTTTGGATGACACAAAGCATGCATTACTATGCTTCAGCTTTTTTGGTTTTTTCCAACTTAGCGTTACATTTAACTTGCTCTGTCTTCCTTTCCCATTATTAGGAAGACTTCTTAGCATGAGAAAAAACGTTTTGTTTGATGGGGTTTTCTTCKGCCTTACTGTTGATTTCTACAAAGTTGAAGTACGGTTGATACTTTTCTAAAAGTTGCAGTTTAACTCAAACTACAAAAATGGGAAGCAGAGCATCTGATACAGAGAATCTCTAACACAAACACTGCCTAATAATGTAGTTCCTAGGAAGCAACTAAAATCTGAAAAAAACCCAAAATAATTGCAGGCTTAGTCTTCAGAAGGTTATTTTGCTGCTCAATATCTTATGATTATTACTAATGSGTCAGCACTACATCCTAGTATTTCTGTGAAAAGATTCCAATAAAAACACATTTATGCATTGAAAATACACTAATCTGCAATTAAATTGTCTATGACACTACGTAAATTAGTTAAAAAAACTACTGARAACAGAAGTGCAAACAAGTGACATACAACTTCAGTGGTTTTCTTCCCCAGAAGCATGTCTAAATAGATTCATATTGTTGACAGGAGACCTTAATTAATGCAGCTGTACTTTTTCAATTGTATGTTTAGCTGAGGTTGTCTTCTGTGTGGGTCGTTACAGCATGACATGTATCCAACTTCTTCTATTGTCTATCAGCTTTTGAAATTACTCTTGATAAGAAAATGAGGTAAAATTGTGGCTTTCAGGTAGAGAAGTAATAGTACTTCCAATCTGTTTCCTGATTCTGACAATCTTTAGGTGACTTTTATCTTTATTTTGGAACTACTTTTATAGAACTCCTTTCCCCATGGCTGAGATAAAAATGATCCTTCTAAATTTGGATGTGAAACTTTAAAGATTATGAGTTCTGAGTTTAGGAAATAATTTTTTATTATYCTGATACTTCATTAATTTTGCTCTTGAATTAAGGACTTTGACAGTTTAGTGTGGCCACAGGTGTCTGTAATGGCAGCATATAGCCCAGTCCTGCAGAATGCATGATCAGCTTTAGGGCTACTGACATTAATGTTCAATGTCCTGCACAGACTCATTAGCCCTGACAGCTGAAGTATTTTTCTTTCAGGAATGGCATGCGTTTTAGCCTCAAAATTAACTGAACAGTAAAATAGCTGAACCCTCTGAAAGGGTTTTTATAAGGAAAAAATGAGGTCCATAGTCCTAGTATGTGTGAACTGATTGCTGCTCTACAACAGGTACCCWGGCTTGGCCAATGACTGACTAAAAGCCAGGTAATGTCATCTTTAGCTCATGTTTGCTATCCCCTATGGCCAGGTATTTGTCCACTAACCACAAGTGTCTGTTAATTGGTTGTATTGCTCTATTCTSTATAATCAATACTGAAAACTTCTTAACAGTATACATTTTATTGGGAATTTAGATTGRCTTAAAACTGGGGCTTCTTTTAAATATCTTGTATGAAAGATAAAATTTAATTGCTGTCAATTTGGCTGATTTCAGGATGCAGTTGTTTAACTCTTGCACGGTAATGGGTGAATTCATCATGAAATACTTCACCATGTGTACACTGTCACAGTTCAGTACAACCTTTATTTTCTGCAGTGACTTTGAAATGTGATTGAATTTTTTTTTCTGAAGAAAAAAGCACACTTAGTACTGTAATTGAAACTCTGAAGTGAATTGTAAGAAAGGTGCAATATCTCAGTGTGGTGGAGCATGAAAGTGTGTCACTTTATTCTGTTTCAGCAGTTATTCAGAGTTTAAAATGCTTCAGGTTTTGTTGAGAGAAGACCCCATCATTTTGATGAGGTGCAGTTCATTCTGGTCACTTGTCTGCTAGCTTCCAGAGATCATGAAGTGTGGGAGGATAGTATTTCCATCATAGTGTAAGCATGTAAGTATAAATTAATCTAAGTGATTAGATSGGTCCAGTTGCTCATCTGTTGCACTGGTTGAAAAGGTCCTGGGTGCCAGAATAGCTGATTGTGCTGTGTTGTCTCCAGCAGGTACTTCAGTCAAGTGTGTGAGAGTTAAAATATAGAAGAGAGTGGATTTCCAGGGATTCCATGCTAATAATTTATAGCTCTGTGATCTCATAGATCCAGGATGCTCATAAGAATACAAAGAATACAAAATTCTGAATGTTCTGGTAAGAATGCAGAATAACATTGCTTACCTCGAATGTTCTTTACTAAGTACTCAGAGATATAATGYTGTCTTTTCCTGATCTTAGAGAATCAGGCCTGAAGTGACTGTGGGATTCAAGAGTTCTCACATACTTCTACACATTTGGGTTTTTTTTTCCTTTTGCTTTCTCATCCTCTGTAGTTCTAGTGACAGACTCATTTTGTGSTGGGGGAAGGTTTTTTGTCAGATTCATGTTTTTCTCTGCAGTGTACTCAATGCTTACCCAGGAAGACTCCGTCCTTGGAGGTATTTAAAAGATATATAAATGTGGCACTTAGAGACAGGGTTTAGTGGTGGGCTTGGCAGTGTTAGATTTAGGGTTGGAGCTGATGAACTTAAAAGGACTTTTCCAATCTAACTCTGAATTTCTGTGGAACACCCGTGGCATTAGTCAAACAGTTGGAATTTCAGTGAAATCTGGTGTTGCTGACTAAGTTTTGGCCATTTTGGCTACAGGTGTAACTACTGGGTTCAGATGAAGAAGAATAATAGACTGCKAAAATAATGTGTTCTTGTTAATGTTTTCTTCTTAAAAAAAATAAATCCCTGCTTTTTATTAATGAAAAAAGTCAATCTTGAAAGCAACATAGAGACACCCAGGAAAAAGCTCAGAGTTACAGGACGTCATGGTACTGAAGCTGTGTCTGTAGGAGCTTTGTACTCTCTGCAATGTGAATATAATCAATTTACACKCTGTAAAGGTAACGGTTTGCTTCCATAGTAACTTTTTATCTAAAAAGGCTTAGAAGGAGCACTGAAAGTCTCATTGCTATAGGACTGTAAACAAGAGAGAGCATTCTTTTCTAATATGATTTTAAATATGAGGAAGAAAGCTGCCTGACAAACTTGGCTGATTTGTGTGTGTGTATATGTAATGTCATCTTTTGTTAAAATACCTATTTTTTTAATTGCAAAGCTGATAAAAAGATGGTTATAATATGCTCAGTATGGGGTGCTTACTCAGAAGAGCAAGGAAAGTCTTCGCAAGACTTTCCTGGGCTCAAATTTTAGTTCTCATATTGTGGTTTGAAACCTGTGAAGATCATTCTCTGGGGAAAAAACAAACCAACCAACCTGCATGCATTTGCATCAGAGTGCATATACAATACAGAAAGATAAAAATGGCAATATTTACTGTTCATCTATGCTCTTTGGCCTGAAGCCATTTCTTTTCTCCTAATACTCTTTCAGCTTTGAAATCAGTTGATGCATTGGTCTATAAATATTAATAAACCTGACTGTTCTGGGTGCTTTTAAAGTTCATTCATATAAGCCAGATTTTCATGGCAAATRTTGTTAGATTTATTGGTTTAATGTTCTTAAGCTTACTGATCTTGCAAATCTTGGGCACAGAAAAGTCAACATGCAGTTGTCCATTTAAGGACTGCAAAGATTAGTTTATTAATCTATCAAGAGCAAATCTTAGTAAAATTAAAAATTCGTCTATTTTGACTATTAACTGATGAATCATACTTGCATTCTCTCACATCTGGCTAAGTCTAAAACATTTCCAAATAAATTCTTCAATGTAAAAAAAAAATTGTAATATTGAAGCCTTGAATATAGTTCATAACCAAAGCAAGGGGAAGCTGGGGGGGTTGATTTTTCTTTTCTTTTTCTGGGGGGAGAGATGAGGGTATAGATTAGAGTATATGATACTGCTTAAAATGAGGGGTTTTTTTTCCCAGGTTCTCTGCTAATTGTATTGCTAAAATGCACTTTTGTATAGAAAAMCGTTCTCTGTACATTCTGTATCTACTTTACACAATGTTTATAGAGATTTTTCTGAAGTTGTGAAGGATTTACTGAAAGCTCTGATGCTGTTGACTTCAAGTTTTCATTGTATTTGAAAATAGTTATGTGCATATTGAAGTACAGGTTGGAATTAAAATTAATGATATAGCAAAGATATTCTGATCAAACTGTGGTATCTTCTTCAGAGCAGGGGGATTCATATACAGGACCTGCAGAGTTATTGTTCAGGCAGAAAATACAAATAAAGTGTCACATCTTAACTGTTCATGATGGCAGAAAGCAAACTGGTTCCCCCTAAACTCAAGGTGTTTGTTATCCACCAGATCTGACAAGAATTGTTTCAAAGGGAAGAAGTTAATCATTGTGAATGCTATAACCCAAGATCACATACTTAAAGCTGTCTACCCTTTGTTTTGATTCCTGTGCCAGAGGTACTTCATGTATACATATATATATATATATATATATATATATATATATATATATATATATGCTCAGCACCAGCAAGGACACAGCAATGGCAATGGCTTTGCCATCACCAGTCTTTGACTAGACAAGAGTGAGGACATTTGCCAGCTTGTATAATGTGTCCCTGAACCAAATTTGCCCTCTGCAGTACTGACGTTTCAAGTCTAATAATGCAAAAAACTCATTTTCCCCCTTGGAATTCAGTAGGAAAATCCTGAAAACCTGAGARGAGGCTAGCACAAGCTTGAATGAAGATTTCTGCACTGGCAAAAAGAATTGATAAGCTTGCTTTACTTAATTGACAAGGAAAGGTGTCATTGGCTATGGGCTTGCTTTCCTCAGCCTGCTCTTACTATACTGGCCTGAACTGTACACATCATCCAAACATTTTCCAGCACAAAACTAGTTACAGCTGGGTGTCCTGAGACCCTTTRTATGTGCTCCTAAAGATCCCATACCCTATTGGATAGAAGACAATTTTTTCCCCTCCTTCTAGAGAATATATTCATTGTAAATTGTTCCTCTAGTGCCAAAATCAAATTTAAATCCAAATCCATATTTGTGTTCTGAAACCTCACTTCATGCTCATTCTTCCATGCTGCAGTGACTTACACGTGACAGCATCACYGGTGTAAGACTTTATTTCTGATAATGTAAAACACATTCCCGAAGCTTTAGCATGATAATTCATTGTGGAAGCACCTGCTGYATTGCTACAAAGTTTCTCGAAGGAGGAGGATTGATCCAGTGGCCGATTCTCACTGCAGGTACCTCGGCCTGTCTGTTGTCACCAGAGGGAGCACTGTGGTCATTTACTGGATTTTATACCACAGCCGCCAGCGTTGCTTTGCTGTAAGCACTTTCCTTTATTCGGTTATGTCCTGTTAAAACGGTGTTGGGGGGATTTGCTTCTCCTCTTAATGCTGTTTTTGAAGTAGGGATCTGTCTGTTAAGGGTCAATTTTACAGTAATAACATTTCCAGTGACTAAGTTCCGTGAACTTTTTCTGTTCATGGTTGCTAATTCTTGGCTGGTCCTGCTTATTGCAACTGAAAGGTGCAAGTACACTCATGTTTAGTGTTAACTTTTGTATGCAYTGTGTTGCTGTTTAAATTGACTGGGCTCTGTTTTGGATTTAGACTTCCTCAAGGGGGTTGAGAATTTTGCATTTGAAAATATTAGGTGATGATAGAAAACAAACAACCACCTTGTCATGCTAAGTTTCATAATGTACATAGCTGTCTATCCCTGGGAGGCAGTGCAGACAACATGTAGCTTGACTAGCTTTAATTTTTTWAAATAATAACCTTTGAATCTGGCTTCCTTTGGAGCAAAGTACTGCTTCAAAGGGAGCTGTTCTGTAGTGTCTCYTTTTCTCTCTTTGCTTGTCTGACAGTTATTGCTTCCTTTCAAAAAGCTTACTAGCWCATATAACTGCAGAGAACATGTAATGAGTTCTCCCTGGAATCTTGGGTTCATTCTTGGAAGTCAAGCTTTTAAGGGTTCTGTGCAGAACTAGGAAGGCTTTGAGTACTTGTGTGTGATTGCAGAGCTGTCTTTGGTTGTGTCAGTGGCTGTCATAAAAACAGTAGCAAATTCTAAAGTCATTAATTGCAGGGTATTTCCTCTAGGGAAAACATATGCCCAAATAATCTTGAAAGGAGGGAATAAAGTTTTAAATCATGATCACAGAATGAAGAGATTTAAAATGTGGCAGCTGTTTAGCAGCTACACAGCTCTTGTGTTTCTTGACATGTAGTTCCTGTCTATACTTCCTGAGAACCGTGAGTTCAACATGGCAGTTCTTCATAGGGGTTGCTGATAACACATTTTTAATTCATTATAGACMAACCTCATTATTTAGATAATTCTCATTTAATGGTATTTTTTTCTCTTCTTAGTCTGTTAAAAGGTAGTTGATTAAGTCCTTCCTTTCTTTGTTCAGTGTAGAAATAAATACTCATAGGGTTTTGTTTTACCTTCTATTGTGCTTAGTAGGAGCAAAGGAAGAGCGGAAATGAGTTCATTTTAATAGCTGTCAGTTTTCAGATATGGACTGCTGCTTCTAGACATAACTGGGATCATTGGTAGGTTTGATATCTCTGGCGTTCCAGAGGTATTTAAAGATGCAATGCACCAATTATGATCTTGAAGAGCACTGGAAGTATTCAAGAACTGTGATGATGAGCATATGCTTTGGGCAACAAATGCTCCTCATGCAGGGAAGGTTTATTTTTCTCTTGACCTTGTTCTGAAGCTGGAGCAYATTGGTGTGTTCACTGCCTGGCTGGTACTTTCTGGCAAGAGCAGTGTCAGCTGTTTAGCAGTTACTTTAAATTCTTTTTGCTTAGGACCTCTCCTGGGTGGTTCTACTTGGCAACTCCTCTCTGCTCTTCTAGAACATAGACCTTTTTGAGGATCTCTGTATCCCATTTCTTTGCTACTTCTGAACAGAGCAAAACCATTGTGTGTTAGGAGGGTCTAAAAACTTGTGATTAGGTGCTAAATGTCTTTCAGTATAGACAGACTTATTATATTCAACTAATTACTCCCTGYTGAAAGTATAATTGTACACTAAAGTCGATCAAATTGTCCTGTATTTATTTYGTGTTCTTTAAACCATGTTTGATATTCAGCCAGCTCTACTTTGGAATAGTCCCTCTCAGGTAGTACAGGGGTCCAGGGCCTATCATGGCTGGGATTGGTACAATCTTTTCYCTTTGTAGATGGAAATGATCACTTGAGTGACAAATTTATGTTGTCTAATTCAGGAGGCAGATTAAAAAATGCATGAGTCTATGTGAGTATTTGGTTTTATTAAATTCAAGGTGAGGAAAACAGCACTATAGTGCTAGCAAGCCTTTATGAAGTTTGAAAGAATATTTTTTTTTCTGCATAATTTTTAAATAAGGTCAGTTTATTTACCAAATAGAAAGTATTCACAATGAGTGTTTGGCTTATAAACATGTTGCTCCATGAATCCRTGCACTTCCTCCTGAAACAATTTAGGTCATAAAACTGTTTGTAGAAGTTACAAATGTTAGCCAAGCAAAAATGAAGCAGTCTAAAATCTTAGCACAAACCCATTTGTGGACTGATAAACCCATTTGCAGAGTGATAAAATGAGTATAATTTATGGTTGAGATGCCTTATTGGCATATGTATTAAAGTTYGGGGATATGTCTATTTTTCTTAGTATTGCATTAGCTGTAATTTCTATGTAATGCTTCAATTCATTTATATATTTGCACAACAGACTATCAGATAAAAAAGTGCCAAAATGTGTATAAGGAGGTCATCACTTTAGCTTAATTGCACACAAATTTCCTGCAGACTCTGATGCTTAAGACCAATAACGAGACTGCTACAGCTAGAATAAACGCATTAGCCTATAAATTTAGAGCTTCTACCTGCTTTGTGAAGGGAGAATCATCTCTAAATGAGCCTAGTAACATTGATTTGTGATTAATCATTTTACTTGGTGACTCATCTATGATCACAGTACAACAAAAATGTCATGTTTGCTTAGTGGCATTAGCACCATTTATCTTCTCTGCATTCAGAGAATTGCCTTGTTGTCAATGTGGGACTGGGAATACAGCTGAGGAGTACTTTGGTTAAAGGACTTCTGATGTCATTTTATCTAAAGCAGAGTATGAACAAACAAACAAAAATTTTATAACCGTTCCCTTTCTTCAAATTTAATTATTCTACTTGGTCAGGCCAAACCATTTGCAGTAATGATCTTGAATCCGTAAAACAAAACTAATTTAACCTTGAAAATTGGTATTGAAGTTGTCTCTGAATTTTTCTTTTTAAGGCCATCCCTGCAAGTTAGCTCAGTTTTTGTTTTCCTTGTTGCAGAGTAAACCCTGCTGATTACTAGAGTGCTTGGGCCCCATGGACTTGTGGATGCCAAGTTTGCAGAGATGTTGTCCAACCCTGTCTTTCTTGACCAGGGAAAAGTTTTCCTTTCAACATTCCTCCACCCTGGTTTCCTGAGTTAGAGACTCCTGAGGGCCTCTAATTGAGGGTCTCATTGGTCAGTGAAGACCAATGCAAGGGTGATAAAATGATTAATCTTGAGAGTCAGAACTGAGAAAGAGAAAAGTCAACCCAATACCCTCAGAGGAAACTTTGGTTCAAAGAGCAAAATGTGCAACCAGAWGGTTTGGTGAGGATGAAGAATTCACATCTGCCCTTCTCAGTATTGCCTTTTCAGTGTCTAGAAGGTCCAAGTTAGATCTCTGCACTAGGAATTAACTTAAAAAAATCATTAATACTGGCTGGCATGTGTGCATAAATATAGCTGGCCTCTGGTTGTGCGTTTGGAGGTTCATGGTTTCTTGTGACCATGGAAGCTGAAAATTATCTTTAAAGGAAGAGACACTGTCATGCAATTTSATAAAGGCATCAGTGAAGCTTTAATAACAACACTACTGCAGTGAATGCATGCAAGTTTACATCTGGAGAAGGGCATATCCATGTGATAAAACCTGAATTTAAAGATGAACCAGGGGCTCGTTGCTGCTCCTGTGATAGTGCTGGTTTTTTCCTTTAGCTTTACAAYGGACCCTGCTGCCTCTGTGCAGTTTAGTGATGATCGATGTGAACATGCTGGAACTGTTTACATGAAGTGAGCTGAATCATTCAACCTAATATTCATTTGTTTGACTAAAGCCTCTTTAGAGCCACTTGTGATCTGATGACTAACGTGGCACAAAGATGCTAATGCTCAGTGTATACATAAATCATTAACTACTTAATTTGGATTTGGAAACCTGAGGCAACAGAATGCTCCATGGAGAAACAGCTATATTTGTCTCTCTCCATCCTGAACCACCTGTCTCCAGAGACCTGGAATGCATTAGAAAAATTAATGTAGTGACTGAACTAAATCTAGATCCTCTGTTCCAGAAGAAAACAGCATTTTTTGCAACTAGAAAAGCATGGAAATCTAGGATCTGTTCTGCTGAGACAACA